TGGTCTGTGTTTTTTCTGTGACCATTCTTCACCTTTGCCTTTCAGATATTTTTCTTTGTCGACATCTTTCCTTCACAAGAACTGTTCCTGTTGCCTTCCATTTTCTTACTATATTTCTGACTGTGGAGATAAAGACTTTAAACCTTTGTGATAGCTTTTTACATCCTTCTCCTAATTCATGTTGATGAATTAGCCTAGTTATTAGGTCATTAGGAAGTTCTTTTGAGGTTCCCATGTTGCTACTTGCAGGTTGACAATAAGGAGGAGCACAACTAGCAATCAGTTAGTCTTAAATATCCTTTTTTATGATTGGTTGCACCTGTGTTAGGAGTGTTAAGGTTTACGGATTCAATTTTGTGTGACTACAGGTTTTGAAATCCACACAAATGAGAGGGTGCCCAAACTTTTGCAAAGCCTTTTTTTTGTTGTTGTTTCAATTCAATTTCACTCATCTCAATACTGCTACGCTGCATATTTATGTCTGAAAAACATGACATTATCTAGATTTCTCTAGAAACCGAATGGCATGTCACTGGGATCTTCTCTTATAGATAGCACATTGTTATGCAGCGACAGAGGGGTGCCCACATTTCTGCATAAGACTGTAAAGATTAATGAAAGTAAAAAAAGCAGTTTGCTACTTTTATATTTTTGTCTAATTAGTTCAGTTAAATCACTGTCCATTAAGACCACCCCCTTTTCTTCAATGTGTTCAAAATAATGAGAATGCTTCCATCACAGAATTGTTAAGAATCTTTTTATGTTTTTGTCTGTTCCCATGGGGCGCTAACTTTCTCATTGAATGTGATCCAACATGATTACGCTAATTCAGCAAATAATTTTTAAAAACAAATAACTTAATCTAAATAGTACCTTGAGTTACATTTTTAACTCAAATATTATTACTTATTTTAACGAATTAATTCACTCCTTTACTCTTTACTTATAAAAGTAATGTTGTTACGTAACTCGCGGTACTCCCAACACTGATTATCAGCATCTTAATTCCGTGAAATTTTTAATATCTTGATTTTTTTTTATGTATCCACATTTATAAAGCTAATTCTATTATATAAACCTGACATCAAATTACAAAAAGACTAATTATCGGTTGTGCAAGGAGCGACCTAACCCTAGCCCTAACCTTAACCCTAATGCATGGATAATATGTGGGACAGTACATTTGATGTTAGGCAAACAGGAATACAAAAAATGTATTTGTGGTATTCTCCTATTCACTGAGCTCTGTTTACCCAACTATGATGACTTCGACTGCTGAATAACTCAGAAATGTGAAAAGGGTCTAATGTCTTGCAAGAGAAGGTCAGACAGTTATACAGAATTGGAGGTCACTGCAGACTGTGACAAGGAACAGAGAGATTTTACTCACTTATATCTGTTTTGTCTAATCTTCAAGGCTACATTACAAAATGTACTTTTCCATTGAAGACGAGGAAAATATCCAAATTTCCTAACAAATCACATCTCTCATGCTTAGGGCCTCCAGTTTTATGCTCATACTTGACATAAGCGCAAAAGTCTCCCAATTGTTTCCTCAAAATTAAGTTTTGTCACCCAGACATCTTATTCTGTGAGCCCCAATTCATATCCTGAGGTGTAAAGGATGCAATATTTCAAAAGCTTTTAAGAACGATTTTTCCGCAACCCCATATAATTTTCTCATTTTAATGTATCATATTGTTCTTTATAAAAATATATATTTCTTTGTTACTTTGAAATTAAAACAGATTTTCTCTCTGAACTGACATGAACCTGTCTGCATTACATATAAATAGAATGACATAATGTTAGAGAGCAGCTTACGGAAATGTCTTGTTTGGAAAGGTTTCAGCAGGTCATCTTTTCTTTTGACTGAACTCTTTACAGAAGAGCAACTTAAAGGGTTACTTCACCCAAAATAAAATTGAAATTCTGTTATTAACAAACCCTTCAGACCTCAATGAAGAGGAATGAAGCACAAATGAAGATATTTTAGATGAAATCCAAGAGCTCACTTATCCTTCATAAACAGCAATGGCCTCAAGATGTTCAAGGGGTCTTTACAATTAAAATACAATCAGTAAAACAGACTTAAGCATTCATTTAGTTGTTCAAGGGTAAAACTAGATGAAGGACTTAAACACTGGAGTAAAATAAACTGTCATATTTTAAAGACATGGCGGAGGAAATGGAATTCAATGCAGGGCTTCTTGTCTGATCTGAGACACACTTCATATCATGTATCTATCAGGCAGTGAAGATCACTGATTTTTAATGAAATCAGACCTTAATTGTGGCAGTGTTTTAATGATGTAACAGTTCACCGTAAGCGCTGATGCTGGCTGGCTGAAAATGTAGAATCCCTGTGCGTATACCGCAGTGGGTTGCCAATGGGATAAATGACTAGGGGGAAAAATGGTCAAACCACTTACTCTACAAACAAGTGTGTTTCTGACTATACATAAAAAGTACAATATTATGTGTGGTTTATTCATAAACTAATTTCGAGAGGATCACGTGCTTATAATCAACACGGCTGGCTCCTTATTAGCTCCGTAATCTGCCTTATTAGATGATTACGGAAGCATTATAAATAACCTGAGTTTGTCACTCCAGTTATCTTCGTCTTGAAGCTCCCCCCCTTTCCACCCCTTCATCCTCCTCCTTTTCTGATTGGGCGACACGGTGGCCCAGTGGCTAGCACTGTTGCCTCACAGCAAGAACACCGCCGGTCCAACCTTTCGGGCCGGTCGGTGTTTCTGTGCGGAGTTTGCATGATCTCCCCGTGTTCGCGTGGGTTTCCCCCGGGTTCCCCGGTTTCCTCCCACCGTCCAGAACATGAACCATAGCCAAATCGACTAAAACAAATTATCACCCAATACAACCTTAGTTCACACTTCTCACGGTGACAAGCAGGGGAGTTTTCGAGACCTACCTGACCTCGAACTTCCCTCTCGCCCTTCTAACGGGAGGAAGCCCCGGGCTCGAGGATATTACGAGCTCAGGGCTCTCTCCCGGGACAGCATGCCAAATACGCTTTATTGATTACATCAAGCAGCATAACGAGCTGTTTTTAACATCTAAAAATTAATGGAAGTGAATGAGAACGAAAGTCTCAAGCCAAAAGTATTCCTATGGATGCACCGGCTTGTTCCTCAAGAATAAGGTCAATAGTCTACGTTCAAGTTTTATTAACTGACCACTTTTAAAAAGGATACCAAGCTCAGCTTCTTGCGGCTGAGATGATCAACTTATGTTTTAAACCACGCTATTTCTTGCTTATATCCCATCATAATTTAGTTTGAGTTGCAAGTTGTCTGGGTCACACAACCAAAGAGACGACAGAAACGCAGCCGGAAAAGAGGAAAGAGAGCCGGCGTCCTCGTCAGACTTAGACGTAGTGGATTTCGACCTCCACTCCCCACCATTCTGCTGGCTAACGTTCAGTCACTGGACAACAAACTTTGCGAGCGGGCGTGTATTTCCTTCCAACGGGAAACAAAGAAACTGCACGTGCTGCTGATGATGTGACAATAAAAGTGATTTGATTTTGATTCGAAGTTAAAAAACTCACGTAAATTGGGGTGTTCTCCAAGCCTGATCGACTTGATTATTACACACTGACCTGATATATTATATAATATATTGGAATCCAACCCGACTGACTATTTAAATTAAAATACAGACTTGAACCCGCACAAGTGCTCAGGTCTCGAGTCCAAAAACATTGTCAAAACAATGTTGTCAAAACATTCCAAGTGACTTCATCGTTTCAATTGTAATCTTATGAAGCTCAAAGAACATTTTTGTGCAACAAAAAATATAAATAAAAATGGCTTATATGTAGTTTGATGAACAAAACGATAAACGAAGGTATCAGGGGTTTGGAACGACATAGGGTTAAGTAATTAGTAATAGAATTTTCATTATGGGGAGAACAAATTCCTTATTAAAGGTCCAGTGAAATTAAAATAATGTTTTTTTTAGATGTTAGTATTGGTATGTTAGTTTTAAGCATATATATATATATATATATAAGCTAGTACACCTAAAAACAGTTGCAAAAATTTGCATTTCAATTGTTCACACTTATCTGGTGATTCTTAATAAGCGAGTTTGGCATGCTGTCTAGGGAGAGAGTCCTGAGCTCAAGAGATTCTTGAGCCCAGGAGTCCCTCCTGTTTGCAGGGCGAGAGGGGAGAATGAGCTCAGGCAGATCTCAAAAACTCCCCCGCTGATGTGGCTAAGGAAAAATACTGATGCTGGGAGCTAAACTATGGTGCCCATTTGGCTTACTAAGTTTACGTATGACACATGTTTTTGGATGGTGGGAGGAAACTGAGAAACGCGGGGGAAACCAATGCGGACATGGGAAGAACAAGTAAACTTCACATAGAATCACGAACCGGCCAGGCGAGGATCAGAGCCGGTGGTGTTCTTGCTGTGAGGCAACAGTGCTAACCACTGTGCCGCCCAATCTAGGTGAGAGAAGAGGAGGAAGGGGGTTTCTCCCAGGTGAAGATGGTTGTGGAATGAAGACTGTGGATATTTATAGTGACGTAGGAATCAGCTGATTGGGGGATCACGTATTAGCTAATGCGGGACCGGCTGTGGTCAATCATAAGCACATGATCCTCTCGAAATTAGTTTATAAGTAAAATTCAATTAGAAGATCTAAAACAGTAATAAACCTCTAAAGCTTGCAGTTTGTCACTTCCGCCTAAATGGGTCAATACTTGTTTCACATCACCTTGTACTTCAGTTTCTCATCAAATCTTAACCATTGAAATGCTCTCTAGTATCTGACATGCCCCGCCATCTTAAAGACACTTCTCATTTTCTTTCTATTTGGTGCGCTTGAGCTCCTGAGAGCAGAGTGATGAGAAAAACAAACCGCAATTGGATGTTTTTAAAAAAGGGAGAAGCTACTCTATGTCCTGTGCACTCTTCATGTTTCAGTTGAGATTATGTCGAACATTAAGTGAAAAATGCACATTTAAAAGCCCTTGACAGGATCTACATTTTCACAGGACCAGGTGCCCAACATCGCACTGCTGGGTTCTGGAGGAAGTGAAAGAGCAATGGTGAGTTTGCTGGAATCACTGGACGCTCTGGCTCAAACTGATCTCATGGACTGCATGATGTATCTTGCTGGAATCTCAGGATCAACCTGGTAAATAAACAAATACATTCAGATAATCAGATCCAGCTGAATATAAACAAATGATGAACTTTTCCCCCCTTCATTAGGTGTATGGCATCTTTATACAAAGAACCCAATTGGTCCAATAAGCTTAAAGTAGTGAAGGATGACGTCATACAGAAACTTGTTGGTCGTGACGTCAGTTTGATGGACAAATATGTGGCCCTCAAAGAATACTACAGAGTGAAGGATAACTTTAGTTTGACAGAAGTCTGGGCTGTGCTGTTTATAAGCAAGATGGTCAAAGAGGTGAGAGAAGTTCTATGTCATGTTTCTTGCGTAAATTAAGCATTATGACATTCAATGAAGCTCTTGAAATGTATAATTCACCTAAAAATTAAAGTTCTCCTCACCATTTACTCACACTAAATTGAACCTAAACTTTTATGAATTTCTTTCTTATGGATTACACCGTTCGCACAAAGAAAAAAAGATTTGGCAGTTTTTTTCTGATATTTTGTGATACTCATACCTGCAGATACAGTATAAATGTTAAAAAACTGACTTTCCCCATGTCAAACAAAACTTCTACATACCTTTCTGAGATGTGGCCATCATACGGTTTTACTCGTTTATTTATAGCAAATGTCCATTGAGCAATGTTTCTGTTTTCATTTTGCATTCAAAAGAAAGAAACCTGCAACATATTTTTCAACCCACTTTATTTTCCTCATCCTTTTCAAATCATTTGATACATAGTCACTCATATTTTAGTCTTGTATGTATATATATAGTTGGCGGCTAAGTAGGTAGTGCTGTCATCTCACAGCAAGAAGGTTGCTGGTTCAAGCCTCGGCTGGGTCAGTTGGCGTTTCTGTGTGGAGTTTGCATGTTCTCCCCATGTTGGTTTTCTCTGGATGCTCCAGTTTCCCTTACAGTCCAAAGACATGTGATATAGGTAAATTGGGTAGGCTAAATTGTCCATAGTGTATGAGTGTGAATGAGTGTGTGTGGAAGGGCATTCGCTGTGTAAAACATATGCTGGATAAGTTGCCGGTTCATTCCACTGTGGCGACCCTAGATTAATAAAAGGGCTAAGCCAAAAAAAAAGGACGAATGAATATAAATACTCACCAGCCATTTTATTAAGTAAACCTGTCCAACTGCTCGTTAACGCAAGTTTCTAATCAGCCAATCATGCAGCAGCAACTCAATGCATTTAGGAATATAGACATGGTCAAGAGGATCTGCTGTAGTTTAAACTGAGCATCAGAATGGGGAAGAAAGGTAATTTAAGTGATTTTGAACGTGGCATGGTAGTTGGTGCCAGACAGACTGGTCTGATTATTTCAGAAACTGCTGATCTACTGGGATTTTCACGCACAACCCTCTCTAGGGTTTTCAAAAAATGGTCCGAAAAAGAGAAATATCCAGTGAGCTGCAGTTCTGTGGGTGCAATTGCCTTGTTGACGCCAGAGGTCAGAGAATGGCCAGACTGGTTCGAGATTATAGAAAGGCAACAGTAACTCAAATAACCACTCGTTGCAACATATGCAGAAGAGCATCTCTGAACACACAACACGTCCAACCTTCAGGCAGCAGAAGACCACACCAGGTGCCACTCCTGTCACCTAAGAACAGGAAACTGAGGCTACATTTGACACAGTGCCTGGTCTCAACTTTGCTGGGTCTGATGAGTCTCAATATCTGCTGCGACATTCAGATGGTAGGGTCAGAATTTGGCATCAACAACATGAAAGCATGGATCCATCCTGCCTTGTATCAGTGGTTCAGCTTGGTTGTGGTGGTGTAATGGTGTGGGGCATATTTTCTTGGCACACTTTGGGCCCATTAGTACCAACTGAGCATCGTGTCAACTATTTGTATGGATTATGCTTGACAGCCTATGCAAGTATTTAAAGGGATTGTTCACTCTAAAAATTATTACTCTCCCATTACTTGTTACAAATCTTTATGACTTTCTTTCTATTGAAAACAAAAGAAGATGCTTGGAAAAATGCTGTATGTGTAATCATTGACTCCCATTCCATGTTTTTTTTTTTTTACTATAGGTGTAAATAGTGCTATTAAAGATTTCTTCTTTTATGTTTAACAGAAGGAAGAAACTTATAAACTTGAGAGTTAGTAAATAGTGAGTACATTTGCATTTTTTAGTGAACTACCTCTTTAAGATGATCCTTTATTTTCCTACAGATAGACAAGAAAAGTTTTACCAGTCGACACAGGAGCCAACACAGCAAAGATCCTTATCCAATCTACGCTGTAATTGATTTGCAGAGCAAAGATGATAAACTAGATGCAGGTAAGGCCACTGCTGTTATTAGGTCTATGTTTCTTTGTCCAAAACTTCGAAAGCATTTTTTTTCATAGATGCGTTTCTTGAGATCACACCACATGAGACCGGCTACTCCATCACTGGGGCCTTTGTGGATTCCTCCAGTTTTGGGAGTCAGTTTAAGCAAGGGGTTAAAATAAAAGAGCAGCCCGAGATGGACATGCTGTTCCTGCAAGGTGAGTTGAAATCATACATATAGTGGTTTTCTTTTAGAAATGTGCAATATATGTAGAGGCGTTACGCCTTGGTGGCTCAGTGGTTAGAACTGTCGCCTCACAGCAAAAAGGGTAGTGGTTTGAGCCCGGCTGGGTCAGTTGGCATTTCTGTGTGGAGTTCTCATGTTCTCCCCGTGTTGGCGTGGGTTTCCTCCAGGTGCTCCAGTTTCCCCCACAGTCCAAAGACATGCAGTATAGATTAATTAAATAAACATGATTGGCTGTAGTGTATCTGTGTGAAAGAGTGTGTATTTATGGGTGTTTCCCAGTGTTGGGTTGCAATTAGCTGGCGGTTCATTCCACTGTGGCGACCCCTGATTAATAAAAGGACTAAGCCAAAAAGTGGTTTATTCCGCTGTGGCGACTCCGGATTAATAAAGGGACTAAGCCACAATGTGGTTCATTCCGCTGTGGCGACCGCAGATTAATAAAGGGACAAAGCTGAAAAGAAAATGAATGAATAAGCCAAAAAGAAAATGAATAAATGAGAGCAAATTTGTTTTCCCATTTCGAAATAAAATTTTAAAGCTATGTCATGGCGATGAGATAATCTAATAAATTCCAGCAAGCTAAACTGGCGCTCTAGGCAAACGACGATAACTCTGTGGCACCCCTACTACTCTGCCACCCAAGGTCGGCTCAATGGACGCACCGGCCCTGCCTGAGTCTGTGTTTGTGCTGCTGGTGTGAAAATCACCTGTAGTGCACAGACTGAAACCCCCTTTTTCATGCAAACCCTTCCCTTCTTTGCCACACGATACTCCCACCAAAACAAAGCTGGACTCACCCACTTTTTGAAAACCAGAGAATGTAAAAACACCCTGCTGAGACCCTGCTGAGGACCATTTATTTCTTTATTTATTTATCGGCAGGTCTGTGTGGTAGTAGTCTTGCTGATCCTGTAAAAATATTGGAGGAACTGATATATATAATCAAACGTAAGTTCCCTTTATCACTACCATTTCATTTTGAAAACTGTTTGTAATTAATCATTATCCATCAATGTGATATGGTATAAGATTAATATGCAACCTTTTCCTCTTAGATTTATTTGGGTCTGAGTCTGAAATGATGGCGGACGTCTCGTCTTCAGAAACAAAACAAACAGACATTCAGTCCCTCAGTGCTCAACACCTGGACAGGGCTGGCAAACTGCTCTTGACACTTGTGCAAGTGAATCTTCTGGTTTTAAAAAATGAAGATCCTTCGTCTCAGGTTAAAACCCTGAATGACTTACTGAGAGGTAATGATTATGATGATAACATGTTTAAGCTGAGCATAAGAGCAAAATCATTTGGTCAGAAAATGGGAATACATGCTATATTTCTTTGATAAAACTCAATTTAAAATCTTGCTAACATCAGGTTTTGCTTCATTTAGCATCATCACGCATTTGTAAATAACCATAGATATTTACATTAAATGTCGGCTACGCTGTTGTTGTCTGTTGGAAGGTATGGTGAATAACAGACAACCTTGAGAAATGAAAAGTTCCTAATGTTCTGCTACTGTGAAGACTTTAGATAATAATACATGACCTGGTAAGCTTTCAGTGACATATATTAGAAATCCCGGCGCAATAACACTAGCATGTATTGCAGGAAAGCTGGATGGAGACAAATACAAGGAATTACTCGGCAAGTCAAAAGAAATGAACAAGAAAACTGTTAAGGAATATACCATATATGTATGCAACCTTCAGCCCTACTGGGATCCCACATGTGAGTTTTATCCCTAAAGTTATTGAGTTGAGACTGCAGGATGGGGATCAGGGATGTTTGTAAATCTTTTTAATTATTTTATATACTGATAACAAGAAAAGGCTCGTTGTATTGGTTAGCTAATGGACGTTTTGCTCCTAATTTAGGCAATGGGTTCTGGAGTGTCATTGCTAAATGCACTGAGTTAGTTGCTTGCTGGATCTGGGGAACAACATACAACTTTCTATACAAAATGACAGGTAAGTAAATTCGTAATGGAGAAACATGAGAAGATAAAGTACTATTCAAAACATTAAAGTAATGCTATAGGGTGCATTTATTTGTGAGAGTAAACAAAACAGCATCAAATATTGTAATTTAACCCTCTATGGCATGAATTTTCATTTTAGGAGGGAAAAAAATATTTCACCCTAATTTTTGGGTACTTTGGGGTCCCTTATAATAAATCAATCATAAAATCAACCCTTTGCGAAGGGTAACCAAAAGGTGGCACGGTACGGTTTGCTTTTAGGGATCTTTTTGAGAGCGGAAATAGCCATGAAAGTGCATGGCGCTGTACCGTACTGTATCACTGAATGGAAACAGGCCATAAAACACCAAGGTTTTCTGTATTATTATTATATGTGAAATGAGGTACAAACTAGCCATAAATACATTAGAAAAAGTGTTAATTTGTTAATTTAATTTAAACAACATTAACAAGTAATATTTCATCAGTAACTGGCCATAAATAGTGTATTGTGTGTTTCCATGGGGTACCGATTGTATGTACTAATTAAGCAGTGTTTTTTACCTCAGAAAACAGGTGTTGGTGGATGTGAAGCAAAAGTGGGTGCCACATTTTTGTCACTTGGCTTTAGGTAAAGGGGTGCCCAAACTTGGTCCTGGTGGGCCGGTGTCCTGCAGAGTATGGTTCTAACCCCAATTACACATCTGAACTAGCTACTCAAGCTCTGACTAGCATACTAGAAAAGTATTGGCAGGCTGGCAACTAAATTTTTGCAGGACACTGAACCACCGGAGTTTAGGCACCTTCCTTTGGATGAACCTTTGCATCCTGGTACTCTGTATCTCCCTGTCTGTGTGTCCATGACCATCGAGTGGGCTGAATCCAGATCAACATCCACATCAAACTTAGTTGTTGGAGGACTGCAGCCCTGCAGAGTTTAGTTTCAACCCTGCTTCAACACATTTACCTGTAGATTTCAAACAAACCTGAAGAACTCAGTACGTTGAATCAGATTTGTTTAATCAGGATTAAAGATAAACTGTGCAGAGCTGTGGCTTTTTGCAAGTTTAATGTGCATTTAATGTGCGTTTTTTTAATTAAAGTTTTGTGGGGCAATAAATGGTTTGTTGCCTGAGGGCAACCCCATGTGCCATAGAGCAGGGGTGTCCAAACTCAGTCTTGGAGGGCCGGTGTCCTGCATAGTTTAGCTCCAACTTCCTTCAACACACCTTCCTGGAAGTTTCTAGTATACCTACAAAGAGCTTGGTTAGCTGGTTTTTGGTGTGTTTAATTGGGGTTGGAACTTAAATATGCGAGACACCGGCCCTCCAGGACCGATTGTGGACACCCCTGCCATAAAGGGTTAAAATAACTGCTTTTATCTTTTAATAATGCACACACACACACATTTACCTCAGAGAAGGAGGTTTCTAGAATCTGTGAACATGAAGTGAGGCATTATGCTGATGGCGGGATCATCATCAACTCACCTTTTTTACCGGTGCTGAGGAAAGAGAGACACGCTGACCTCATAATCTCCCTCGATTTCAACGAGGACGATCCATTTGAGGTATGGAAAATGATTCTTTTAATAACCTGCATAGAGAATGCTAAATATTATCCCTGCTCCGTTCACACAAACATTCTTTATCATAAATCTTCTTGTTATTTCAGTCTCTCACAAAAACAGCTGAAATGTGCAAAAAGCTACACATTGATTTCCCTGAAGTTCCTGAAGAGATACAAAAGGAAAAGGATTTTCCAAGGGATTTTTATGTGTTTGAAGGCTGCAATACTCCGACTGTGATACACATTCCTCTTTTCAACAGAGTCAACTGTGGTAGTAAAGGTAATGTCATATTATTTATTTTTAAAGAATGGAGTAAAAATCTTGTCATAAAATATACCACATATTAACCTGGTAAACTACTATACAATTATTTTCCTGTTCAGTACTCAAATGTGCTGTACCACAAGATTTCTTGACTGTCATTTACTAGTAAAGATGTTGTGTGTCATTATAATAGCTATGCGCTGTCAAGTAAAATACGGACACACCTTATGTTGGGTTAATTTAAATTACTTTTTAATCCAGCGGTTGGGTTTGTCTATATATGACCCAACATTGGGTTAAAACAATCCAGCATTTCTATAGTAGTTGTAGCTAGTTAGATATGAAGGAAATCCGACCATGAAAACTGACAAATGTCCTAAAATGTCTGTTTTATAGCTGAAATGGAAAAGTTGAAGAGAAAATACAGCACCGTCCAAGGGCCCTACTCCATTGAAAAGATTGATGAACTGTTGAAGAAAGCTGGAGTGAACATCACAAATAACAAAGAGAATATTCTGACGGTGATTCGGAACGTCATCAAACAAAAGACGTCGTAGATTTGTTTGCATTCGTGTCACCCACATCATGGTGGCTATCGCTAAATATTACAAATGAACGTAACTTAGAGGGTATATCGATTTTTGATAGGGAAATTAAAATCTCCCAGTTGGCCGATGACACAGCCTTATTTTTAAAAGATAAATGTCAGTTGAAGAATTTGTATGTGCTTCTGGATTGAAATTGAATATGTCCAAATGTGAAATTATTATGATTTAATAAACTAATGACTCCTCAATAAATGGTATTTTAGTAAAAGAGACTTTAAAGTATCTGGGTATTTATTTAACAAAAAATTTAGCCACTAGACAACTGCTTAACTTTTCTGGTAGACTTAAAAAACCTCATAGCATTTTTAATCTTTGGCTCCAAAGAGACCTTTCCCTTTATCTTCTGACCAAAGCAGAAGGTTTATCTCGTTTGGTATACCCTTCACTTTCTCTTTCTATTAATATCCCTACCGCTAAAGAAGTTAACAAAATATTTCTCAACTTTATTTGGAAAAATAAATCCCATAAACTTAAGAAAACAGTTCTAGCAAATAGTCGAAAAGATGGTGGACTTGAAGTGTTTGACTTTGAGGACATAGTAAACACTTATAGAATAAATTGGTTTAAAAGATTCTTAAATGACACTAACTCTATATGGTTTTTATTCCAAACTCTATTTTTCTATTTTTCCAAATTCTTCCTTTTATTTTAAAATGTAATTATCTACCGAATAAATTGCCAATTGCACTGTCAAAATTTCACCAGCAGGTTATTCTTTTCTGGAAATTGTGTTATTCCCACTACATAATTTCTCACCACATAAATACATTTTATGGAACAACTCTGATATTAGAATTAGAAATAAATCTATTTTCTCTGTCCACGTGGTTTAACAGAAATATAATTGGGATTCTCTCAATTTTTGATAAGTCTGGCAACTTCTTGTCTTATGAACAATTTATGTCTAATAATAATTTTCCATAACCTTTTAAAGAATTTAATGCTGTGCAAAAAGCAATTCCTTTAGGCCAAATTCAACTTATAAAATCTCATTTATTTTTTAATGAAAATGTTATTAAAGAACCAGAGCTAATCTTAAATGGAATTATTCTATTTGACAGAAAATGTAATAATAAATATATTCAACAAATTTTTCAAAATAAAAAGTATAATGTTCCCAAGGGCAAATTTTACTGGGCATCCCTCATTGACCTAATAGACTGGAAAAAAGCCTGGCTATTACCTCATAAGTACTGCATCCCCAATAAAACAAAAGAGGTTCACTTTTAAGTTCTTCATGAAATATATCCAGTGAATAGTACTTTGGCAAAGTGTTTGGAGGTTAATAACTCATGCACATTTTGTAAAACTAAAGACGAAACGTTGATTCACATATTTTTGAAAACACAAAAAGCTTTTGGAATAGCTTAAATCTCCATATAGGTAATTACATTGCTTCTTCCAGACCCTTTCAACTACAAGATATTATTTGTTACTATAAAGGTAAAACTGATATATCAGAGAACTACATTATTAACTTTTGTATTTTGTATGGAAAATATTTTATTCACAAAAAAATTCTCCACTTCGCAGCCTTCTTTTTTACATTTTTAATTGAAATTGATGTATTTTATGAAATCTCTTAGACTGGTTAATAACAAAAAGTGGTAGATTCTTGGATTATTATGATCATTATTTTGGAAAGATCACGGATACATGTTCTTCTTTCCTCCTGCTGTATTTGTGTTATGTATGTATCTCTGTTTTTTTTTCTTTTACTTTTTCTCTTTTGTTTCTCTTTTTATTTTATTTTTTTATATGTGTTATATTATTTAACCTGATCTGTTATTATCATTGTTATCTTTTTTTTTGTACGATTGGATTTTGAATGTTTGTTTTTGAAGTCAAATAAAAAACATGTGGAAATGTTTCTTGTCCATTAGATGGCGGCAAAGAACAGGTTAGAATGATTTTGCGAACGACTCAAATACTTGAAGACAAAACATTATGTAAATTTAAAATGATGGGAAAGCAACTAACAAGCAATTAAAAGCAGCAGCCAAACCTACCTAACCAAGATATGCTGTTTTTAAGCATGTTTGTTTCAAGTATCTCCAATTATCCTGTGTGTCTTTTTGATTTTTATATTTTTTTTATTAAGCACTGCCTCATTTATAGATCATGCTTGATCATGTCCTTGGTGTAATCACGTGTGATTAAATCTCCTGATAATAAAGATGTTTACTCAAGAGTTTTCTTTTGGTGATTTCCCTCCTCAAATATTCACATGGACCAGTATTTCCCTATGCCCTTTCAAACCCGTCTCACACTGACCTGTGGCTTACTGTAATTAAACTTTACCTTCATTTCTTTTTATGCAGAGACGTAAAGCTGATGTTAATACACGATGTTGCTTTATCTGAATTCAAATAAAAACTATTTGTTGCATGTCATTATCCTGAGCAACTTTGGAAAAATACTGGGACATAATTATTAATGATATTATTTACCAAGGTGTGAACATAACATTTAAAGTATTTGTTTTAGAGCTCAATGAATCTAACTTTTAATTTATTTCCAAAAACAGAAGTAGAACAATTTACATTTTCATTGACTTTAATTTGTATTCTCTAGCTGTCTTGTTGTATTTACCATGTCCGTATTCCTAAGAAGCTAAAATTTGGTCAAGTAACCTGAGATGTTTTAACCAGTTAGTCCTGCTCTGCTTTATAGTTTCAGTTTGGCCTTCAACCTCTGCCAGCAATAGTAAGTGCATTTAAGCATGATTTTAAAGGGGCAGTTCACCCTAAAATAAAAATGTCCTCACTATTTACTAGTGGTACTAAACCTTTTCAAATTTATTTCTTCAGTTGAACACAAAGAAAGATATTCTAAAGAGTGCTGGAGAAAAAGCAAAAAAAAATTGAAGTAAATATTATTACACTATACACTCACTGGCCACTTGATTAGGTATGCCTTACTAGTACTTGGTTGGACCCCCTTTTGCCTTTAGAACTGCCTTAATCCTTTGTGGCATAGATTCAACAAGGTGCTGGAAACATTTCTCAGAGATTCTGGTCCATATTAAAATGATAGCATCACACAGTTGCTGCTGATTTGTCGGCTGCACATCCATGATGTGAATCTCCTGTTCCACCACATCCCAAAGGTACTCTATTGGATTGAGAACTGGTGACTGTGGAGGTCATTTGAGTACAATGAACTCATTGTCAAGTTCAAGAAACCAGTCTTGAGATCATTCGTGATTTATGACATGGTGCGTTATCCTGCTGGAAGTAGTCATCAGAAGATGGGTACACTGTGGTCATAAAGGGATGAACATGGTCAGTAACAATACTCAGATAAGCTGTGGCGTTGACACGATGCTCAGTTGGTACTAATGGGCCCAAAGTGTGCCAAGAAAATATCCCCCACACCATTACACCACCACCACTAGCCTGAACCACTGACACAAGGCAGGATGGATCCATGCTTTCATGTTGTTGATGCCAAATTCTGACCCCATCCGAATGTCGCAGCAGAAACTGAGACTCATCAGACCAGGCAACATTTCTCCAAACTTCGATTGTCCAATTTTGGTAAGCCTGTGCGAATTGTAGCCTCAGTTTTCTGTTCTTATCTGACAGGAGTGGGACCTGGTGTGGCCTTCTGCTGCTGTAGCCCATCCGCCTGAAGGTTGGACGTGTTGTGTGTTCAGAGATGCTCTTCTGCATACCTCGGTTGTAACGAGTGGTTATTTGAGTTACTGTTGCCTCTTTATCAGCTCGAACCAGTCTGGCCATTCTCCTCTGACCTCTGGCATCAACCAGGCATTTGCACCCGCAGAACTGCTCCTCACTGGATATTTTCTCTTTTTCTGACTATTCTCTAAACCCAAGAGATGGTTGTGCATGAAAATCCCAGTAAATCAGCAGTTTCTGAAATACTCAGACCAGCCCGTCTGACACCAGCAACCATGCCACGTTTAAAGTCACTTAAATCGGCTTTCTTGCCCATTCTGATGCTCAGTTTAAACTGCAGCAGATCGCCTTGACCATGTCTATATTCCTAAATGCATTGAGTTGCTGCCATGTGATTGGCTGATTAGAAGTTTGCGCTAATAAGCAGTTGGACAGGCGTACCTTATAAAGTGGCTGGTGAGTGTAGAAGTCAATGGAGGTTTTTTTTAGCATTCATCAGAATCTTCCTTTGTGTTCAACTGAAGAAAGTGGAAGATGAGTAAATTATGACATGAGTAAAAGAAATATAAAACTACAACTAAATAAGTCATTTGTTTTCATTCTAAACGAAATCATTTATTAATTCATTTTCTTTTTGGCTTAGTCCCTTTATTAATCTGGGGTCGCCACAGCAGAATTCACTAAATGAGGCTGAGCAACATGAGAAAAAGACCCAGCGTACATTGCAGCCCAGTATATGTCAAACACTAGTTTTAAGTCATATTAAGTCAATTTTATTCCTTCATTCATTTTCTTTTCGGTTTAGTCCCTTTATTGATCTGAGGTTGCCACAGCGGAATGAACCGCCAACTTATCCAGCATATGTTTTACACAGCGGATGCCCTTCCAGCTGCAACCGATCACTGGGAAACACTCATACACTCATTCACACACATACACTATGGACAATTTAGCTTACCTAAATCACTTGTACTGCATGTCTTTAGACTTGTGGGGGAAACCAGAGCACCTGAAGGAAACCCACGTGAACGCAGGGAGAACATGCAAACTCCACACAGAAATGCCAACTGACCCAACCGAGGCTCGAACCAATGACTAGCACTATCTACTGCGCCACCGTGCCGTCCTTCAATTTTATTATTACTAACATATTTTTCTATATGCATTTAACTGCTACATTGGAGTTTAAATGAAGCCATTGCTGGTGAATGTCAGCTTGAATTTTAATTAATTACATATACTGTATCACAGTTACATAATCTTTAAACCCTTATGATCACGAAAGCAAATATGCAGAGCAGTGTTTGTTTTAGGGTATGTCTTTCTTGGAATTGTTTGGACATGCAGGATCCTTCTTATTTGGCTGAACTCTTTACAGCAGACATTTTATTTAGTTCCTTATTGTAATATTCAACAAATAAATGTAAAAACCTGTGAAATCAGCAAAGGGACGATTTACCTAAATCTGAAAGTTCTATCATTTACTCGACCTCCAATTCTTGGAAACCTGTTTGAGGTTCTTTTTTCTGTTGAACACAACAGCAGATGCTTTGAAAAATATTTTGAAGCCTGTAACCATTGACTTTGATAGGATTTGTCCTACTATGAAGGTTAATGCTTACATGTTCATAACATTTTTAAAAATATCTGCTAACAGAAGTATGTTCAAAACGTACCCATAGAAGTCCATAGTAGAAAAAACAAATCCTATTGAAGTCAATGTTTTCTGGTTTTCAGCATTTCTTTAAAGATCTTCTTATGTGTTTAACAGAAAAAGTAATCTCAAACAGGTTTGATTCACCTGGATAATGAGTAAAAGATGGCAGAATTTTCTGTTTTTGTCTCATTATTATGTTTTTACAACATTATTATGTTGTTCTAATGATAATAATAATACTCTATGTATTTAGTAATATATCAATTAATATACTCAAGACAGAATTTTCTGATCATGTTGTGCTGAAAAGCGAAACGTGAAGTTCACAAACTTACAAAAAATATATCTGTTTTAATAGATGTTGACATGTAGGAAACCATACATTATGATGAAACTGCTGGATAAAGCTGGAATGAACGCCAGAATTAACGAGGAGGATCTTGTGGCAGAGATATAGAAAATAATCCACATCCGAAAACAGAATTTTCTGCTCTTGTTAAACATGTGGCAGTAAAGAATAGGTGCGGAAGAGGATTTTAGAGAGTTATAAAGAATTAAACCTAACTTGAATTTATTCTTATGAAATTTATAATTAATATAGATAAATAATTAGGTTTTGATAAATTGTATTATACATCTTCAGAGGTTCTCCAAAACCATTCTTTCTATTGAATCATAACCACACTGTATATCTATAATTATCAGTTTTTCAAATTTTTATTTCATTTTTTTTTTGTTAACTTGCATTTTTTTATGCGTCTGACTTGCATTATGGGATCTTGAAAAGGTTTGATGACATGACATGTTTAATAGTTTGAAGTGATACAGTTAAATTCATAAATATTGGGACATCAACACAATTCTAACATTTTAGGCTCAATAAATGAACAAAATGTGCTGTAACTGCAGACTGACAGCTTAAATTTGAGGGTATTTACATCCTAATCTGGTGAAAAGTGTAGGAATTACAACAGTTTGCATATGTGCCTCCCACTTGTTAAGGGTCAAAAAGTAATTGGACATAAAAATAATCATAAATCAAACTTTCACTGTTTAGTTCTTGGTTGCAAATTCTTTGCAGTCAATTGCAGCTTGCAGTCTGGAATGCATAGACATCACCAGACGCTGGGTTTCATCCCTGATGATGCTCTGCCAGGCCTCTACAGCAACTGTCTTCGGTTTCTACACATTCTTGGGGCATTTTATCTTAGTTTTGTTTTCAACAAGTGAAATGCATGCTCAATCGAATTCAGGTTATAGGATTGACTTGGCCATTGCTTAATTTTCCACTTGAAAAACTCTTTGGTTGAAAATTATTGCTTTAGAATCAATCAAAAAAATTCCTTTTTTATATCGAGTTATTGCATTAATGATAATCCATTATACAGACTTGAATAGTGATTTCTGTTGTTTTATTTAGTAAAATCAGTTTTAAAAAAGCACAGAACATAGTAGAGTGCAACATGTTTAATAGAAAATACATTATTGTAAACGCTACAGCATCCACTGAGCACAAAATCCCTGTTTTCCCTTCAAACCCCATATTCCAAAGCATACTGAAAAACATACCAATTTAAGTCCAAATACAAACTGCACAGACACTTTATATGTAAATGCCATGTTTTTCAGACAAAAAAAAAAGCTTTCGCTTGTTTTATGTCTCATACATTCACTTACTAAACGGATTTTAAGCAGTTTATTTTTATGCAATAACGACCAATTTACATATAGGGAGCCAAAAAAAATGTATTCATGATTTGCTAATGCAGACATACACGGCTCAACAAAGCCATCATCTTTAAGTGGTTACAGTCACCTATGACACTGACTTGATCGGACGTCAGATTAGATCACATTTGAATGACATTTCAATGAGGTATAATGATGTCACAGGTGTGTTTATTTTTAGAACTCCTCTGATAGATGCTGTCTTGAGTTCAAACGGTTGAATTCACTTCCAGTTATGCTTGAGCTGGAGTTGGCAGCGGAGGGCAAATATCCCTGCAATAAAATGAAAACATATTTAGATTCATTCAAACGCAGGTCTTGGTAATCAAATGTATTTATATCTAAAGGAAGAAAACTATTAAACTCACTTTAAGCTAGGTTCTTTCTCAAAGCCTTCTTTCTTCAGATGAGCGCAGACTGGACTTGTCTCCTCCATCTGCTTTTTAAGGCCATTTGTGGTTTCATCCCATTTAGTTTTTTCACCTGCAAAATTACCTGAAACGCAGCAAAAAAAGACAATCATAAACAGTTCTTTTCTTTGCCAACTTTTCTCTTTTCATTCATTCATTTATTTCCCTCACCACAGCGGATGCCCTTCCACCCGCCAGGACTGGCAAACACCCATACACACTCATTCACACACATACACTACAGACAATCTTAGCTTATTCAATCTACCTACAGCACATGTTTTTGGACTGTGGGGGAAGTCGGAGAGAATATGCAACTCCACACAGGAATGAAAGTAATTTTTGCATTTGCAATAAGGGCAAATCTGAATCTACTTTTGCTATTTAAGGACATTAAAATACACACTGTGCCCCAGCGAATGATCTAATAGAGTTGTGCTTATTCTTCCAGCCTCCACCACGGCGACTGAAGCTCTGCACAAGACTTTTGGCCAGCGGAGAAATTAAAATGGTCGTGCCCAACTGAGTCTGGTTCTCTCAAGGTTTTTTTTTTCACTCCCATCAGGTGAAGTTTTTTTTCTCTCTCCACTGTCGCCACTGGCTCGCATGGTTCAGGATTGGTAGAGCTACGCATCGATGAATTTGCTCTTCAGTGTTTGAACTCTCAGTAATGATTAAATCACACTGAACTGAGCTAAACTGAACTGAACTGAACTTAAACACTAAAAACTGAACTACACTGTTCCAGTTACTATGACCATTTATGTGAAGCTGCTTTGACACAATCTACATTGTAAAAGCGCTATACAAATAAAGCTGAATTGAATTGAATTGAATTAATGAGTTATGGGTGTGTTTCAGAGTCTCATCTCTTATTCCCTTTAAGGCCCTGTTTACACTAAAACGTTTTAGTTTTTAAATGCATAAGTTTTACTACGTTACGCCAACCATCCACACTCTGCCAGAGTTTTCGAGCACCGAAAACGGAGCGTTTTAAAAACGCTGGAGAGGCCATTTTCATTCAAAAATGCTGCTGCTCTGTCTCAGTTTGGATAGAGGAAAACAGAGACATCTAAAAACGGAGGCGGGACTGCAGACATTCACCTATTTGATTGGGACTTTTCCCTTTATATTAAGTAGCCTACACACAGTTCAGCTTGCATCCTCTCCTTGTAAGTTCAGACTTTGCAAGTTGGATATGGAAAACAAACTCCCGAGGATACGTCGGGTAAATCTTCAAAGGGAACAGTGTATGTTATAACCTTATTCACATCACTCTGGCTACATTGTTTCACTTTCTTAATAAAATGAAAACATGATAAAAGGAATTGACTATTTTCATTTTGATATTAGCAACCAAACAGACAGCAGAAATGTTGAGGCGTCATGTAGCTCCATATTTACATGAGCATCATCTTCACTGTATGCATATTGATAAAAAAACAGAGCCCAAAACATAACTGCCTCTTTTCATTTTCACTGAAATTACGAAACATACTAATTTTGCTGAATTTCAGTTTTAATAATCAATAATGGCCATTATAAAAGTGTAATGCACAATAGATTTATAAATTATAGGATAAAGGCAAGCAATCAGTCAATATACAGAATGTACAGTCTATGGTTACATTAATTATTAACCTATCTTTGCGCTCAGCCAAAACACGTTACCTGAGAACAAGTAATAGATTCAGCAGTCCAAAGTCAGGAAAAATGCGGTTAGATATAGACAACAGGATGAACTAAATATCACGTTTAACAAATATAGTGAGATTAGATCCAGCGGTAGATCCTTGATGAACAGTCAGACGACTCATCTGGGTAGATATGCTGCAGCGCATGCCAGAGTGTGTGTGTATGTGTGGTCATGTGATGTGCGTTTTCAATGGTGCGGTGTAGACGGAGAGTTGTTCAGAAATGCTGGGTCAAACGCTAGTTTGGACGCAGATTGTTTTTATTTTAAAATGCCGTTTTAAAACTAAAACGTACTAGTGTAAACAGGGCCTAAGCGTCAGTTGTGTCGTGCAATGGCACATTTGCTATTTACAAAGTGGACTTTGTAAGTGGCAAAACTGAACACTTCACTAGCAAGAAAACAGTAAAACAGAGCATCTGCAGCGCAAGAATAAAGAATAACCCTCCTTCATTCTACCTCTTTACTTTCTCTTTACTTTTACTCTTTACTCCTTCACTTTCATGGAGTAAGGAAACTGTTTTATGCATGTCACTGAAGGCACCCATTAACCTAATATATTTATTTTGGTTTGTTAAGCGCAAAGATTTGTTCCCAAACTATTTCTGAATTCAGTTCTAATTTCCAGCAAAGGAATAAATGAACAATAATAACTAAGTGTGCTCAAAAACCTGAGTTATATCCAAACACGCATGCTATTCTTGTGCCCCATATGATTCAAAACCTGACAGGTGGACAAATCTAAGCTTGTTTTTATTATATATATATATATATATATATATATATATATATATATATATATATATATATCAATTTGCATAAAATAAATATTGATGCTAATAATAATTACATTATGCAAATGCAAATTGTCATGAATAGACAGAAAAAATACGGTTGCGCTGGTCTGAAAATTGCAACAAATCACGCCAAACACGTCTTGCACCTTATTGCGCTGAGTGTGTTTATAGGGCCCCTAATTTTAGGGAGTAGGGAGTGTGTTTTTATAGAAATAAGCGAGAAAAGGCATTATGGGTGCTTTGTCAAGCCCACTGACCTGTGTGAAGCACACTTCATAAATGCATTATTTTTTCTCTGCTTTCACTACAAAACAATTGATAGGTTTTCATTATAAACCTTTAAAATGTAAAAATACTTTATTAATAAAATGTAAAAAAAAAAAAAAAAAAAAAAAACACATATTTAGTTAAGACTTTGGGGACTGATTTCTTTCCATAAAAATGTTTTTGAACCAAGGGCTTACCCTAACAGTTATAAAGGGGGCGCTACTTAAAAAGTTTAACTGAAATGTAATTCTTGTAAATGTTTATTGTTTATACATCAAACCAAAATATATATGATTGGGTGAAACAAGACTTAAAGATAATAATAGAAATGCAATATTTTGTAAGTAATAGTGTAATATGTGTAAAATAATAATAATATTCATTTGAATGTTATTAGTGGGCGGGGCAGTGGCTCAGTGGTTAGCACTATCGCCTCACAGCAAGAAGGTTGCAGGTTCGACACTTCTGTGTGGAGTTTGCATGTTCTCCATATGTTCATATGGGTTTCTTCCAGGTGCTCCAGTTTTCCTCACAGTCCAAAGACATGCGCTATAGGTGAACTGAATGAACTAATTTGGCCACAGTGTATAGAAGGTGTGTGTGAATGAGAAAGTGTATGGGTGTTTCCCAGTACAGGGTTGTAGCTAGAAGGGCATCTACTGCATAAAACATATGCTGAAATAGTTGGCGGTTCATTCCGCTGTGACAACACCTGATAAATCAGGGACTAAGCTGAAGGAAAATGAATGAATGAATGTTATTACTTATAATTATACAAATTGAAATAATGAAAAAAGTATAATTCACTTCTCATTAATATAATATAAATACTTTAAGGACAGCTTCATCTGTAATATGCTGAATAATTTCTCATATGTGTTTCTCTCAAAATGTTTAAGTGGCTTTATAGTTTATTGCATAATATTGTTGAGGTTTTCTAAGTGAACACATTTGAACATACCTTCAGAGTCAGTCTTGTCTTTCTCCACTGCTGCAATGTCATTATTCAGCCCTGCCTATTGAACACACAAAACAGAGTTAACATTTTTATTAATATGTCACGTTTCTTAAGCTAAAACAGATACCAAAACTAAACATTTAAAATAAATACCACTCAAAACTTATGACTTGAAAAGATAGTTCACCCAAAGATTTACATTCTGTGCTTAATTTATTCACTTTCAGATCATACAAGAAAGATTGTAGTGCTCTTTGGTGATTTACATGCAATTCAATGTGAACCGGCAGTTTAAAAAGTCAAAAAGAACATCAACAGGCAAACCAAAATTAATATCTGTTCCACCAGATACATTGAAGTGTTATATACAATTTATCATCAAACATTAAAGGAACAGTTCACTCAGAAATGAAAAACTAACATTATCTACTCACCCTTCATATCACAAACTTGTTTGGGTTTCTTTTGCATGTAGAACACAAAAGAAGATATTTTGAAGAATGTTAGAAAACAGTAACCATTGACTTGCATAGTAGGGAAAATAATGACTACTAAAGTCAATGGCTACCGGTTTAACAACATTTGTCAAAATACCTTCCTTTGTGTTCAACATAAAATAGAAACTCAAACAGGCTTCTGACAAGTGAAGGTTGAGTAAATGATGACAGAATTTTTATTGTGGGGTGAACTATCCCTTTAAACTACAACATTATCTTTAATCCACAGCCTTGGCATATTGACTTATCATAAAAAATATAAGTTTTATTTTTCCTGCATATGTTTAAGTACCAGTAGCTGCTGACCTGCATTTTCAGAATCACAGTATCAGCTAAAAATAGTTTTGAAGAAGAAGAAGAAAATCTATATTCATTTTGGCAGGCCTAAAGGTGAGTAAATAATGTTTTCTTTTTTGGCGAACTATCCCTTTATTTTTTGAGGAGTTTTATGTTTAAATTGGCTTACAATTATGTGTATTTATAGTGCTGTTGTTACTACCAGTTTGGCAAGTGATCTGTTAGTTGTAAAACTTGCTCTGGAGCTGGGTGTCGATGCTCAGGGTTGCCAGGTCCAAGAATAGTTTTCGCCCCAATGACAACTCAAATCAAGCACAAAAGGAACGAAAAGTAGCCCATTTTGTCAACAACTGGATTCTTACAGAGGGTTTATCGGATCTTCACTGATATTTTACTTGAGTCTTCAGTGTGTTAAAAGTACTGACTGACTATTAGACATACTTCTAAAGGGATGGTTCACTCAAAAAGAAAAAAACCTGCCATCATTTACTCATCCTTAACTTGTTCCAAACCAGTTTTTGTTCTATTGTTCTGTTGATCACAAAAGATATAATGAAGTACGCTGAAAGCTTGTAACCACTGACATCTGTAGTATTTGTTTTTCCTATTATGAATGTCAATGCTTAAAGGTTTCCAACGGTTTTTAAAATATTTCCTTTGAGTTTAACAGAGACATCAAGGGCCTACTCACACTATGCTTTTCGAACCGTGCCCAGGCCCGTTTCCTGGATCGTTTGAGAAGTGTGAGTGCGCTGATTCGGGCTCAGGCACGGTTCATTTGGCCGGCCCTGGCCCGGTTGGAAGAGGTGTGCCTGAGCACGATTTACTTGGGCTTTGGCGCGGTACGATTGTGTGTGAGTGCAAAACGCACCTAAGCCCGAAACTGAAAGCGAGACGAGACTTTTAAGGGACTGGTTCATATGGATTTATTAATCATTCTTACTGTTCAATCTGTTGTAGTTTATTAAAGATGCAAACCCCTCACCAGGTACGAAAGCTGCGCACCTTCAGCAAACCTCCTAATTCCTGCAGCACGAGGGCTTTATGATTGTTTATGAGCGGCAAAAGTGGATGATATGTTCGGCAAAATATTTGACTGCGTGTCACTGCATATCACACAACACAACTAAAAAAATCTCCACTGTGCTGAGCGAGAGCGCTTCTTACTGAACAGCGCATCATCAATGACGTAAGCGTGCCCAGCCCCGAATGTAAGGTGAGTGCTGGCCGTCAGGAGGAGATGGGAGGGGTACAAGTGTGATTTGGCCCGGTTCAAGGCAACTGTACAGTGTGAGTACGCCCTAAAACTAAAACAGGTTTGTAACAAGTCAAGGGTGATGCAAATTTTTTTTTTGGGGGGGGTGAACTGTCCCTTTAAGACCTTTGTCAGATGTTGAATAAATGACGTTCCGTTGATTTAGTGTGTGACATGCCGTCAGATGGCTTGATACTTCCTCATGCGCAATGTTTTTTTGATTGTTTGTTTGTCTTTTTGGGGTTTGGAAGGGGGGAATGGTGGGTTGCCAGAATTCCAGAATTAGGGTCTATTAAGAAACTATTCAGGTTTGATTTTGTGTTCACTAGAAAGAAACTATTTCGAGGCCACAGCAGGTTATAAAAGTACCCCCAAAACTGCAACATGCAATTTCTGATTTTTTTCATTCAACTGCAATCTCCCACCCGCTTCGAATGTTATCACTCGATTGAATGGGCGTTATCAATGGTTATCACCTGATAGATATGGACCAGTAGGAGCCTTTTGCGCCTACTGGTTGGCTCAGAAGCTGTAATCATCCATCCACATGGTTAATCAGATATGCTAATGGAGAAGACCATGCAGATCTGTTTTTACATTACTGTGACAGTTGGGTTTTGGGTAGACATTATTTCAATCAAATTAATGGTTAATTTAATACATAATATAAAGATGGATGATAATGATAACAGCCTTCTGAGCCTACCAGTAGGCGCAGAAGGCCCTTACTGGCCTATATCTATCAGCTTATAATATAAAATGATTTTGGCTGATTTTTAAAAAAAAAAACGACTGTGGCAACACTGCTAGTGTCATAAACATGATTACATCGATGCAACGTTATGCTCTGACAAGTAAGAATGGATTGTTTTGTGTTTTCATGTCTTAAAGGGATAGTTCACCCAAAATTGAAAAGTTTGTCATCATTTACTCAACCTTCATTTGTCAAAACCCGGCTTTTGTGAACCTGAGTTTCTTTAAGGAACAAAAAGACAATTTAAAGAAAACCTGTGACCACTGAAAACCAAATATTATGGAAGTCAATAGTTACAGGTTTCTGGCATTCTTCAAATTATCTTCTTTTGTATTTAACAGAGTAAAGAATGTAAAACAGTTTTGGAACAAGTAAAGGTTGAGAAAATGACCAATTTAAGACTTTATAATAACTATACACTATGTATTGAGCATTAGCAAATAGTGAATTCATTATCTATTAAGCATTTAGTCTACATTAATAGATGTTAGTAAGCAGTTTAGAAATACAGCTACACATGCTGCTTTATTCTTGACTTGTTAATAGGTCCACATGAAATCTGCGCATGCAGAAATCCCCAGATTTCCTCAGATTTGTCGCCTATCACTGATTTATTTACTCATGTAAATGTGTGCACATTTTTATTTTTCTGTTTTTTAATTATTATATTAAGCATTATTATTGACAAATATGAAAATGCTCATTTGATTTATTCCCAATACAGTTGTAAAGTAGTGTTTTCTGTCTTTTAGTAGATATATCATACACTGTAAAACCCAATAGTCAACTTTATCAAATGAAATGAGTGTAGTTCACTCAGAATTGACTGAAAGTTAATTCTACTCATTTGAAAAGAGTTTTGAACTCAGTCTTGAAGGTAATGGGTTAATTAAATGCCTCATTACTTCAACTTAAAATGATTAAGTTCACAGTACTCATATAGATTTGTTTTTTTACTCAAATGGTTTGTAGCAATCGGTTTCCTCAAACGGTTTGAGTTGCCTTAACTTATTGTGTTTTACAGTACTCACTTGGTTTGAGTTCTCTTCATTTATTGAGTTTTACTGTGCTCAGATTGCTTCGTTTACTCAAATGGATTAAGTTTACAATACTCACGAGGATTAGTTTTTGAACTTAAATGGTTTGTTGCAATTGGTTTCCTCAAATGGTTTGAGTTACCTTTACTTATTGGGTTTTACAGTGTATGAGAGAGCTGCTTTGTTTACCAAATAAGTGGATCTAATTTGATTTGCATTGTAAACATTATATAAAAGTGTAAAATGTTTTCTTTTTTATTTCATATATTAGGTTTTTGGTTATGATACTTCTGAAGTCATTAGAAAAAAAATATGCAGATTTTCTACAAAATTATGTGCTGAAATAGCAAAAAATGTCCACAGATTCTGTCTGGCCCTACTTGTAAGTAAAGAATAGAGTATTTGTATCTGCAGTTATAACTGCTTACCAACATTTATTAATGTAGAGTAAATGCTTAACAAATAATGAATTCACCATTTGCTAATGCTTAATAGATGATTCCAAGTGTGTAGTTATTATAAAGTGTTAACCTACATATATAAAATAAGTTGAAACAACACGATTCTTAAGGTTTTTTGGGGACAACTTAATTGTTTTATGTTCAATAAGCATACATTTGTAGAAACTATTAAGTAACCTTAATGGATTTGTGTTTCTAGTATGGAACCAAGTATTTTTTTACAGTGTATGTTCACAACTGAATCAGTTGAATGTGCATTATACTCACCACTAAATCCTTGCAGGCTTTAAGCTCTTTGTCCTTTTCCTCTTTAGGGGGGTTTAATTTCCCGACCTCGTCCTGAAGCTCCTTGACCTCTTTCTCAGTGTTGTCCAGCTCTTTCTGTGTCTGCTCGACTGCTGAACCAAAGTTCTCTACACCCATCACTGCTTCTCTAACCGCTGCATCAGAGAACTCCATCTCATTTTTTAGTTTGTTTACCAGGTCTTGTTTAAAGTGAATGTATGCCACTAAACCAACCGCCAGAGCTATTATCAAGAACAGCATCATGCACCAGCATGACCTCCTCTCCATGGCCATGTGTACAGAATTTATGTCCAAATAAGTTAAAAATGTTTTGATTATATTCTCAGATTTCCTGTATTGATCAAGAAGTTTTTTTATGTACTCTGTTTTTAGTCAACAGGGGTTTGGTCTCTAAAAGAAAAGTGAACAGAGAAACAGAACAAGTAATAATTAATTCATAAGCAGTAAGGTACGTTAAAAATGACAAACAATTAACAGATATAAAGACGTATTTTTAAAGCAACTCTGATGGTGCATGTAGTTATAAAAAGGAAGTGAACCCTCAAGACCATTGTTCAAACTGCTGTTCCTGAAGGGCCCTGCCGAATCTGCTTTAACACACTTACCTGTAGGTTTCAAAATATCTCAAGTACTTAATTAGTTTCATCAGATGTGTTTTAATTGTAAATACATGCTAGGTTCAGTCGTTTGGGAAGAAGACCTATTTAATCTCTAAGACTGATTGGGATTAATGCCTTTTATCATGTTCTACAAATTCTAGACAAAACCTTATTCAGTACAAAATATTACAGCAATAACTATCCTAAAACTAAGCTTAGTAAATTCCATCCCTCGGTTTCCCTCACATACAACAAGTGTAAAGCCGCTGAGGGTATCTTTTTTTTGGTCCTGTGTTCAAATTCAGATATTTTGGTTAGAAATATTTCAGTTTTTTGTTAAGGTTTAAGATTGTGTTTTACTCCCTGACCCAATGATTTTTAGCTGGTCAGATTTTCTGGAGACTCTCAACCGAAATGTACGGTTACCTGTCCAGTATGGCATGATTAGCTATATATCCTTTGTTTCTGGAAGAAAAATATTTGGCCTCTTTTTTCTGGCTGGCCTCTTGAACTCACCTCCACTTTACATTTGGAAAGAATAGATATACCTCTTCTGGGAATTCTGCGAATTTTGATAAATATGGGATCCAGTCTTTTCATTTTTATTTTTAGACACCATAAAGACTAATAGTGTTGTTTAATTTCTGAAGATTAGTACGCTTTTTTTCTCTCTCTTTACATCCATTGTCTTTTTGTAGGTCATATATGTTTTGTATGTTGCCATTTTTCCTTGTTTCATACTATATTTTACATTTTGCAGATTATTGTTTCATGATGGGTTTGTTTGTCTGCAAAAACTATTAAAAAATATTTAAAAAAATGGAAAAGGAATTAAATTAACTTATTCATTAATTCGTTTATTTTTCTGTGGCTTAATCCCTTATTTATCAGGGGTCACCACAGCGGAATGAACCACCAATTTATCTAGAAAATGTTTCATGCAGCGGCTGCCCTTACAGGCACAACCCAGTACTGGGAGACACCCATAACTCTCGCTTTTAGACTCATACACTACGATCAATTTAGTTCACCCAATTTACCTATCGTGCATGTCTTTGGACTTGTGGGAAACCGGAGCACCCGGAGGAAACCCACACAAACATAAGGGAGAACATGAAAATTCCACATGGAAATGCGAACTAGTCCAACCGGGACTTGAACCAGCAACCTTCTTGCTGTGAGGCGACAGAACTACCCACTGAGCCACTGTGCCACCCTGTTCTTATTTTTTTATTTTATTTTTTTACAAATTTAAGTAGATTGAACATAAAACAATTAAGTTGTCCCAAAAAACACACAAGGATTGTGTTGTTTTTGCTTATTTTAAATAAGTAGTTTGAATGAACAGCAAAGTGTCTTTAAATGTAATTAAGGTTGAAACTGGCCAACTAGGACTGATAAAATACACTTTTTTAAATTATTAGATATTTGTTTTAACATTTAACCTTTAAAATGTGTTTCAAATTTGGACTTTTTTGTTGAATTATCTATGAAGTATATGTGGGATATATATATATATATATATATATATGTGTGTGTGTGTGTGTGTGTGTGTGTGTGTGTGTGTGTGTGTGTGTGTGTGTGTGTGTGTGTGTGTGTGTGTATAAATAACAATATTTGTAAAGAAAAATACTTTTTATCATATCTCACAAACTTTTGAACATATTTTGAGTTCAAAATGTATGCCAAAATGTGTGTGTGTGTGTGTGTGTATCTATATATATATATATATATATATATATATATATATATATATATATATATAAAGGTTATTCAGGTAAAATGGATTTGCGTTGACAGTTTGTCAGATGATTATATGTTTTATATTATAATATTATTATATATATTATATTATTTTATGTTTTATAACAGCATGATGGCTGATTTGTACGAATTCAAGTTTTGTCGTACAAAATGTAACATTTTTAAAAGGAGCCGTGGCACCAAACTCCACCCCCGAACTCAAATTGTACAATTATGATCATACGAAATACCTAATCAAAAAGTTACGAATTGTCATGAGATAGTGTTGTTTATACTGATAATTTAAAAAATTCATTTGAATGAATGAATAAATGAATGAATGAATTCATTTGTTTGTTCATTTATTCGTTCATTTGTTATATTTTTTAGGTGAAAACTAACCCAGAATGTGAAAATAGCATTTAATTTATGAATGAGTAATGAGGAGCAAAAAAAAAAATAATAAATTTACAGTCATAAGAAGACTTTTACAGAACAGAAGGACAGTTTAAAATATTAATGACTCAATTAAAATATTAATAGTCTCAATGTGGCAGGAAAGGGAGTAATAATGGTTTCAAACTTTTAAATTCTGCTTGTTTTAGCTGATTCCCAGTCTCACTAAACTTTACAAAGTTTGCCTAAAAGTTCCACAAACCCTTCTGAAACCAGCAAAAAAAAAAAAAAAAAAAGCCCAGCTGTTAGTTTTTTACTTCTACCTTGAGTCAGACTTTTCATAAACGTTTGCATATAACATTAAAATGCAAAACATCCTGTTGTCCTCGTGTGAAATATTAACTTATAGACTAGCATTCTGTCTTAAACTGATGTCATAGTTACAGGATCTGAGATCAAAGCAGCGCCACATACATTCTTTCAGAGTGAAATAAAAAACTCTTACCTTTGGCAACAACTGTGCATCCAATCTGAAGAGGATTTTTGTTGCTCCAAACAGCTAGTTAGTTAGATATTAAAAGCGGAACGCAATATCACTAACAAACGAAGAAAAATACTCATCAGAAGAGGCCAACAATATATACTTTTTCCCTCTGTAAATATTTCTTTCTCTGACACTAACGTAATCCTTCCTAGTCCTGCTCAGTCACTCACAGGTGACCAGTCTGACCAGTTAAACAAGAAATATTCGTTTCTGATTTTTATCTTCATAGCAAGGACAATCAATCCATTTAAAGTTAGGTTTCTCAACTAGATCCCAAGCAACAAAATATATCATTTTACCTTGTTTCTTTTTTACTTATTTTATTTATAAGATGTCTTCCTTATCAGTCTGAATTTGACACAAATGTATTATTAGCCTTGAATCATTTGAATTTATTAACATAAGCTAATTGCTAAATCCTTATTCCTTCCTGGAACTGAACTGAGACCAGCTCTGGCTGTAAGGATATTGGCTGTAAGCATATTAACATAGTGTGTACTTCCAGATAAGTCAGACACAAACTAAAAATAATAACCCTATAGTTAAGACAGCGCCGTGTGCCACCTGTACTCTTTCTGTTCTTTGCCTTTAACAGCAGTTGAGCAGCTCCTCCTCCCTTTGAAGAAACGTTCACCTATACAGCTGATCTCAGGTCTGCCCTCTACAGTCACAGTGAGATGATTTTCAGGGTAGTCTAGAGATGTTTGTGTAACTCATTAGTTCTGTAATAATAAAGACGTAATGCATTTTTAGAAATACTCTTACACTGCAAATAATATGTTGCTGACTTTAATTTTTAAAGAGCATCAATGATGTAAATCATCTTTTGTAGCTGTTTGGACAGAACTGTGAGGGCCGGAGCAAACAGAACTGCCGCTCTAGACAAAGGACGGTCACGCTGCCCTCAACCCTAAATGAAAGGGGGGGATGTTAGTGTCGTGGACGCTGCCCTCTCTATTCTGCCACCCTAGACGCGGATATAACTGAGGGCGCGGGTGGTGAAGGTAGTGTCGGGGACGCTGCCCTCTCTATTCTGCCACCCTAGACGCGGATATAACTGAGGGCACGGGTGGTGAGGGTAGTGTCGGGGACGCCGCCCTCTCTATTCTGCCACCCTAGACGCGGATATAACTGAGGGCGCGGGTGGTGAAGGTAGTGTTGGGGACGCCGCCCTCTCTATTCTGCCGCCCTAGACGCGGATATAACTGAGGGCGCGGGTGGTGAAGGTAGTGTCGGGGACGCCGCCCTCTCTATGCTGCCGCCCTAGACGTGGATATAACTGAGGGCGCGGGTGGTGAAGGTAGTGTCGGGGACGCCGCCCTCTCTATGCTGCCGCCCTAGACGTGGATATAACTGAGGGCGCGGGTGGTGAAGGTAGTGTCGGGGACGCTGCCCTCTCTATTCTGCCACCCTAGAAGCGGATATAACTGAGGGCGCGGGTGGTGAAGGTAGTGTCGGGGACGCTGCCCTCTCTATTCTGCCACCCTAGACGCGGATATAACTGAGGGCGCGGGTGGTGAGGGTAGTGTCGGGGACGCCGCCCTCTCTATTCTGCCGCCCTAGACGCGGATATAACTGAGGGCACGGGTGGTGAGGGTAGTGTCGGGGACGCCGCCCTCTCTATTCTGCCACCCTAGACGCGGATATAACTGAGGGCGCGGGTGGTGAAGGTAGTGTTGGGGACGCCGCCCTCTCTATTCTGCCGCCCTAGACGCGGATATAACTGAGGGCGCGGGTGGTGAAGGTAGTGTCGGGGACGCCGCCCTCTCTATGCTGCCGCCCTAGACGTGGATATAACTGAGGGCGCGGGTGGTGAAGGTAGTGTCGGGGACGCCGCCCTCTCTATGCTGCCGCCCTAGACGTGGATATAACTGAGGGCGCGGGTGGTGAAGGTAGTGTCGGGGACGCTGCCCTCTCTATTCTGCCACCCTAGAAGCGGATATAACTGAGGGCGCGGGTGGTGAAGGTAGTGTCGGGGACGCTGCCCTCTCTATTCTGCCACCCTAGACGCGGATATAACTGAGGGCGCGGGTGGTGAAGGTAGTGTTGGGGACGCCGCCCTCTCTATTCTGCCGCCCTAGACGCGGATATAACTGAGGGCGCGGGTGGTGAAGGTAGTGTCGGGGACGCCGCCCTCTCTATGCTGCCGCCCTAGACGTGGATATAACTGAGGGCGCGGGTGGTGAAGGTAGTGTCGGGGACGCCGCCCTCTCTATGCTGCGGCCCTAGACGTGGATATAACTGAGGGCGCGGGTGGTGAAGGTAGTGTCGGGGACGCCGCCCTGTCTATGCTGCCGCCCTAGACGCGAATATAACTGAGGGCGCAGGTGGTGAGGGTAGTGTCGCGGATGCCGCCCTCTCTATTCTGCCGCCCTAGATGCGAATATAACTGAGGGAGCGGGTGGTGAGGGTAGTGTCGGGGACGCCGCCCTCTCTATTCTGCCGCCCTAGACGCGAATATAACTGAGGGCGCGGGTGGTGAGGCTAGTGTCGCAGATGCCGCCCTCTCTATTCTGCCGCCCTAGACGCGAATATAACTGAGGGCGCATGTATGTGGTGAGGGTAGTGTCGCAGACGCCGCACTCTCTATTCTGCCACCCTAGATGTGAATATAACTGAGGGCGCGGGTGGTGAGGGTAGTGTCGCGGACGACGCACTCTCAATTCTGCCACTCTAGACGCAAATATAAATGAGGGCGCATGTATGTGGTTAGGGTAGTGTCGCGGATGCCGCCCTCTCTATTCTGCCGCCCTAGACGCGAATATAAATGAGGGCGCATGTATGTGGTTAGGGTAGTGTCGCGGACGCCGCACTCTCTATTCTGCCGCCCTAGATGCGAATATAACTGAGGGCGCAGGTGGTGAGTGTAGTGTCGCGGACCCCGCCCTCTCTATTCTGCCACTCTAGACGCGAATATAACTGAGGGCGCAGGTGGTGAGGTTAGTGTTGCGGATGCCGCCCTCTCTATTCTGCCGCCCTAGACGTGGATATAACTGAGGGCGCGGGTGGTGAGGGTAGTGTCGCGGATGCTGCCCTCTCTATTCTGCCGCCCTAGACGGCTGCCTAGGTCGCCTCTTTGAACGCGCCGGCCCTGTAGGTATAGTGTGTCCACAGTCATATTGGGGTGATATAAAGACAATAAGCCTCTTTTTGAAATTTCTGATGTTAAAATAGGATCCAAATCCTTCCAATTTTAAGGTCGACCGAAAAGTGACGTAGGAGTGCGGTTTCCCTGCCCAATGAAATTGATTAACAGCTGTGTATTAACATGTTTCCGTAGTAACGAGTATAATCATATCAACAAGACAGGACATGTGCAGAGCAACTGAGATCAAGAGATCTGTTGAGCACTCTGTGATCATCAATCATCCTCAAATGTGATCAAGAATGAGTTTTAAAGTTTTAAACCTTTTTAAAACAGTTCATGTTTGTATTGAATTACAACGATTTTACCATCTTTATCACCTCAGCTGCTTGTCAGTGCAATTATAAAAGAAGGCACGTCAATCCCTGTTTGTGGACGTTAAATCAGGTTTATTTTGCACATGAACATAACGGATATCTTTACAGAATATTAGCGTGTATCCTGTCACATTTGCTGTATAAAAACAGAGCAAAGCTAAACACGCACACTGTGTGTGTGTGTGTGTGTGTGTGTGTGTGTGTGTGTGTGTGTGTGTGTGTGTGTGTGTGTGTGTGTGTGTGTGTGTGTGTGTGTGTGAACTTTGTAACAACATTGTGTGACTCATCGTGGCAGAATGGCTTGAATTAACTCCACAACAAATGCATCAAATATTTACTGAGAAAGTTCTTACTGCAGTATTTCTCACAAATGTTACGTGAGATCTGCTTCCTTCATGTCTGTCTGTTATCTGACGCAGCCGAGGCGGAAATTGAGGCACGTTCTGACAGGCATGTGGGAACGGTAGGCAGGGAGAACCAGCATTAAAGGCACAGACAACAAAACAGCTAGTGTTCAAAGCAGAAAATTCTGATATTCTGAAAGCTGTAATAAATAATCTGATGGGTGTTTTGAGCTGAAACTTTACAGATACATTCTGGAGACACAAAAGACTTATCTTAAATCTTAAAAAGGGGGTAAAATACTTGCCCTTTAAGTTGAACCATTTTAACTTTACATGTCATTTAACTTGCATCGATTAAACTGACTTAAAAAATCAAGTTAAAATATGTTCGACTTGAAAAAAAAAAGTTTTAACCTGATTAACTTTTTAAATTAAGTTAAAATAACGTAAAAGTTGTCATGACTTTATTTTGTTTTTTTTACAGAGTATAGAAATAAAGGTATTAAATCTGTCACTATAGGATGGAACCTGTTAAAAAAATAAAACTGTCAACTTTTTCAAATGAAATGAGTGTAGTTAACTCAGAATTTACTGAAGGTTAATTCTCTTTAGAAACGAGTTTTGAACTCAGTGTTGAAGGTATTGAGTTAATTAAATACCTCATTACTTCAACTTAAATAGAGTAAGTTCCCAGTACTCATATAGATTAGTTTTTTTAATTCAAATGGTTTGTAGCAATCGTTTTGAGTTGCCTTCACTTATTGAGTTTTACAGTACTCAGTGCCCAAATTGCTTTGTTTCCTCAAATAGACTAACTTCACAGTACTCATTAGGATTAGTTTTTGAATTTAAATGGTTTGTTGCAATCAGTTTACTCAAATGGTTTGAGTTACCTTATCTTTTTTGGGTTTTACAGTGTACTAGTACAAAGATTTAAAGATTTAAAATACTTTAAGAGAAAATCAGGGGGGTTTCAGTACCACGCAGTTATTAACTCTTACATTAACTTTCATTCCGCAATAATATAAGATCTATCTATAAGACAAGATTCAACTCTGTGATGTGAAGTTTTTATGAAAGACTGTGGACAGATCTGATTATTTACAGACAGATCAAGGAGAATGTGGCTGATTCGTACTAATTCAAGTTTTGTCGTAGAAAATGTTCAATTTTTAAAAGGAGCCGTGGCACCAAACTCCGCCCCTGAACTCATTCATCATTGGGCGATAGGCAAATTGTATCAAATTGTACAAATAAGTTCATATGAATTACCTAATCAAAAAGTTACGAATTGTCGTGAGATAGTGTTGTTTATACTGATAATTTAAGAAATTCATTTCTAAAATTTCATTTTCTTAGTCCCTTTATTAATCCGGGGTCGCCACAGCGGAATGAACCGCCAACTTATCCAGCATGTTTTTACGCAGCTGATGCCCTTCCAGCCGCAACCCATGTCTGGGAAACATTCACAAACACTCACACTCATACACTACTGACAATTTAGCCTACCCAATTCACCTGTACCGCATGTCTTTGGACTGTGGGGGAAATCAGAGCACCCGGAGGAAACCCACGCAGCGCAGGGAGAACATGCAAACTCCACACAGAAACACCAACTGAGCTGAGGATCGAACCAGTGACCCAGCGACCTTCTTGCTGTGATTTATTCATTCATTTGTTTGTTTGTTATATCGTTTGTAGGTGAAAACTAACCCACAATGTGAAAATAGCATTTCATTTTGAATGGGTT